CTCTTTCTTTCTGCTTCTGTCAGTGTTATCCATCTTCCCATCCTTGTTCCGATTGAGCCGATGCTCTGAACCCTTCAGGAACCCGTTGCTGCTGGATGTGGCGGCCACAGAGAACGGACGTGCCCATGTCATCACCGACGGCCTGGCGGGCGCCGAGCAGGAGATGATGCCGTTGCTTGGGTTCTTGGCGAAGAGTCGACGAGAGGCGGAATTTCCCACCGAAATTCTGATGTGACTTGGCCACTAAACGGTTGGGCCGGTTGGGTTGAGCGATTGTTTTGGGGCAATGTAGTTGCAATCAGATTTTGGTGAATTTTGGATGATTGTGTAAGGCAACAGGGTACAGATTCAGCTAGCTAGATAAGAGAGTAGAAGTGACAAGCGTTGATGATGCGCGTAGTCGGGGTGGTTGGGGCAATTGCGATCGGCAATCTGTCCTGAGAATGGAAGCGGCTACTGCCATGCCCTGCCACTTTGTTGTTGCATGTTGCCACATATTAGGCACGTTCTGCACATGTGCTGTATGTCACTCACTCTACTTTCACTCGCCAGCAGTGACCTGGCAGTGTCGAGCTAAGGAAAGGCTTGGATGTCAACATTGCCAGCGCTATGGCAAGTAAACCCTCAGATAGGACCAAAATTCTAAACAGCATACGACTACCTCGAGCAGGGACTGTTTTTCTTGAACAAGAAGCCCGAGACACTCATGAAAGCAACTTGATTGATCTTTGGAGTTCTTTTCCTTCTGATTTCCTCTCACCCCGTGCTGAGTCAACCCATTCTCCAGGGGTCAGCACTTCAGCACTGGCTGTTTCCTTTGAAGTCTTGACCCAAAGGGATCATGTGCCCAAAATGCATTCCGTTTCGCTTAGTTTTTGTCGCATTTGCGAAACCTTTTCCAAACTCTTGCGTTGAGGTTATGATGCGGTGGGCCGTGCGCTGGCCGGGCACTTTGCCTTAGCCAATTGGCCCCTTGGAATTTTGAGTGAAATAGCTCTTTTGATGTACTGTACATTTAATCATGTGACCATGTTTGAAAATTCGAATCAGATGCCTGTTTGTGGAGAGTACGATTGTGTCGTTCTGCCTCCCAAACGGCTTGGATCTTCGCCAAACACCGCAGCTGAGGTTTTCTTCCATCGCGAAAGGTCTGGACACCTCGAGGTGGGCTGGTCCCAGCCGAAGTAGGGTTCGGGTACAGAGCAAGGTTCATCAGTCAAGAATTGTATGGATGGAATTAGTTCTAATGGTTTTCAATGGTTTTCACAGGGTGAAATCTGCCGATCATTCATTTTCCCCCAACAGCAAAACATTGCTATGGGGTCTTTAGCCCAGATTCGCTCCGGTGCGATCTGGTGCGATCCGGTGCAGCTTCAACACCAGGTTCCGGACAAGGTTCCGGAAGTTTCCGGTGCAGATACCTCGTGAGGTTCCGGAGGGTTCCGGTGAAGATACCTGCTGAGGCTCCGGAGGGTTCTGTGCGGTTCCGGAGGGTTCCAGTGCAGATACCTTGTGAGGTTCCGGAGGGTTCTGGTGCAGATGCTTTGTGCAATTCCAAAGGGATCCGATGTTTTTATGGCATAAGCACTTCATTTTTATGGCATAAGCGCTTGATTTTTATGGCATAAACACTTTTTGTGGCAAAAACGCAGAAGCTTTCAAGCTGTTCGGGATAACACCTGAGTTTATTTTAAACCATGGATTGAAGTTGGACTGTGGCCGCTGGATGTTGTGGCACTTTCTGATTGAATTAGAACCTGGAGATACCGCGAACACGTTTGTGACTCTCTGACCTGCAATTTTGACGCTCCAGCCGCCATAGGCTCTTAACAGCTCTGCAAAACGACGAGAAGCGACGTGTGGTGCAGCTCTCCTTGACGGGATGCTGCAACTTGACCACAAAAGAGTGCTGCAGACATAAAACGATGCCCGCCAGGAAAAAGAATTGCTGGGCAAAAAATGAGGTCTAGAGTCTAAAAGGAGCAAGTTGGGTATAGATAGAAAGGGATTAGGAGTGCAACCTCCTAAGCCTGCTTCCCGGGATGGAAGGCACGCACCCTAGCCCACTACAGGTTTACGTCCTGAAAAGCCAAGATGTCATTTATTGGGTATGAATTGTAATTGAGGGTTCAGAACCAATGCAAGGGCTTCTTTTTTCGCACGTGTCCAGTATACCAGTGATGTCCTCCCAGCCGGTGAAACATGCTCCAACAGGTGCATAGCAGGTGGGTCGATCTTCGCCGTTTTGCGCCGAGGCAAGTTTGATGACGCACAGCTCAGCACTTTTCTGGAACACTTGCCACCTCAACTGCAGGTCCTGCGTGCCCTGGCTCGGATGTCGGATGTTGCCCCAAGATTTGAAGTTCCGGTCCAAGCATGTTTAAACTTAAACCATGTCAAGCTTTAAGCCGATTAAATACGTTTAGAGCCATGAACCCCAAAACGTTTCAACGTTTACATATGGGGCTGTTTGAACATGTCCCGAATGAGTGATGGAGGAAATAAGAACGGGTCAGCGAAAAAGAAGCACCAGGGTGATGTCACTATCATCAGATTTCTCAGTGCTTGATTCTGCAAGTGCGCATGATCTCATGCAGTTGGGCCCACAATCTCTTGGAATTCGTTTATGCAAACATGAACATGTTTCAGCATGTTTTTCAAGTTTGTTTAAACGAACTTGCTAGGGTCCCCGACTACTCCGGATTAGTTTAGGTATTTTAGGTTTTGACATGGTTTAAACATTAAACACAGTGTTTAAACCGTTTAAACCAACCCCAGGCCCAACCCTGGAAGAGATTGGTTGAAAGATGCTGCAAGCCTTCCAGCCAAGCTGCACCCCTCGAGGGAAACCGGGGATCAACTGAGACCCCCCCAAGATCCGTTGGAAAGATGGGGGACCATATGCCGCAGCATCCCATTCTGAGGCTTGGACCTGGGCTTCACAGCCGTGGAATGCGTGCAGTTGGACGCGCCGTTGTCGGAACTGCAGGAGCTCTCCCTGCGCATCATCAAGACGCCTCTGCGCCAGGTGAGGGTTGGGAGGTGAGTCAAAAATTAGAGTCTTTGAAACCATGTGTGATCCCACACTACGGCTTCAAACATCCACCTTCGCAGAATTTCGGGTTTGAGGCTGGTGTTCCCCTGCCTTTTTACTGCTTCGTGGCCAAACAGACATATCGTTCAACCTCAGGTGAAGCTGCAACGGAGTATGATGCCGAAGCTGCGAGTCTCGGCAAAGCTGCTGAGTTTTGGGTCGCAGCGTTTGGACTTGGCAAAATTGACCCAACAGTAGATGCCTGTTAGCCGTTTGCCATGGATACCCGAGGCCAGTCATTCTGAAACATCCAAATGCCCCATGTCACTTTGGAGTTCATATTCATCGACATGGCGGTTCACAGCATGCTCAGAAGCGAAGAAATCTCGAAAGACTGCTCCAGAACTACAGAATGATTGGTGAGAGGGAGATCCAGCAACGGCTTTGATGTTTGTGAAAGGGAGCCTCACTTTTGTAGAAAGATGTGCATCGGAGTCTTCACTTTTCTGGCTTTTGCGGGTCTGTCCTGAGTTGGCTGAGGATCCATGCAACTTTGGTTGTCCAGTTTGCCTGAGCTTGAGGAGTCTGGACGATCGTTGATTTGCCAAGGATGCATCTAAAGGATAAGGGATCATAAAGGTGTCACAGGGTATATAGTCATTGTTCTTAATTATTCTTAATTAATTATTCTGTAAATATACGGATATCAGTGGGATTGCCTGGGTATTGATATTGATCTTAAGGTCTTTGTCATGAGTTTGCGGTTCATGCCATGTTTCTTTTCGAGTTCGCCAAGTAACAATTTTATCGAGAAAGACTTGCGAAAGTCAGATCTCCTTAAAACAATAACAGAACAATCACACAACCATTCAATATGCAACCTACCAGGATAGTTCTCATGAGAGTTCCAAGAAAGGAACGGGCAAAATTCATGATCTGGCAGGTCCTGACTGAGTCCTGTCTTCACAAGGGACATGGTTGGTTCTTGCCGCGAAAGGTTCACGAAAGTACTAGATATGATGTTTCGCGAAGAAGGCATTTCCAGATGAAAGAAAAGATCAACAACAAACACATGATTTTGACTGTACCGTAGCAACAAAAGAAAGTGCCACCTAGACCCAGCCAAACCCGGACCCTGAACAACCTTGGCCCACTCAACCGTCTTTGACAACTGGTGTTCTCTCGAAAACTGCAACCCCAACATCCAATGGTTCGAAATCTTAAGCCTCGTTTTCAGAACCCAAATCTGCCACAACGTATCATAACTTGGGGCATCCTCCAATTTAAGACAAACCATGACTGGCTTCCGGTGGCTGAACCAGGAGCTGCAACTGCTCTTGAGGCGCAACTGTGACGGGCTGAGAGAACTGGTTCTGCATGTGCACAGATGTCCCAAGTTAGCAAAGGCTGCCAAGCACCTTGGCCAGTTGTGCCCGCCGTGTTCGTTTCCACACCAACATGTCAATGCAAACACTGCCCATTAACATCCATTAACATGCATTGACATTTATGAACAATCATTAACATTCATGAACAATCATGAACAATCATTAACATCCATGATACATTCCTGAAGTTCCAGGAACATCCATCAACATCTTTAAAACACTTTAAGTATCGACCTTTTTTACCCCAACATCGATCAACCCATGAAAATTTGGGACACCTGGCTTTGGCGCGGGGGATCCAATTTTATGGCAGGTTTGATTAGGGAAATTCTGATAAATCAGTATTAGCATGTATGAACCATGGTTCGAACCAAATTGAAGTACGTGGTTCGAACCCATCTATATGTATAGCATATGTTTATCTGTAGGAAATTCCCTTGCAAATACATCCATGCATATATTTATATATGTAGTAGACTATGCCATTATAAGTCAACTTGAAGAGTTGCTTCTCTTCCAAAAGCTTCGAGCCCAGGCAAGGCATCTATGACTCTGTCCATGGGTGGCCCTGGCACCACATGGACAAATGGATCAGCATCGAAGAGGTTGAATCTGCCTGGTTTCAGTTGTTCGGAGGCAAGAATCTTCCGGAGGATGCCATCCCCAGAGCAAGAGCAAGGTTTGATGCTGCGAAGTTTCAGGAGATGAGTCCAGATCTGCCCTTTCCTTGCAGCGAAACAAACTGCAGCACCTTCCACCCCAATCGTCATGGCTTTTGCCACAAGCATCGCTTCCATCGTTTTGGAAGGAAACTATCCTCTGCAGTAGTGAGAACCTTGGGCTGGTTGGAGTTGGTCCTCCTTCTCACCATTCAAGCAGCGGCAGAGATCCAAAGCAGATTTTTGCTTTTGGTGATTTTAGTGTCGTTGCTTCCAGTGACTTGCATTTTTCTGGAGGAAAGCACTGGCATGTCAGCGGCTTCCATTTGCGTAACATTGCTGGCCGTCGCTTTTACGACTTGTTTGTACACCGCCAAGCGCTTGGATGGCATGCAACAGAGCGTCTTCAACATGGCGCTTGCCACTGAAGCCAGCTACTTTCAAGTGCTGCAACCTACATCAGAAACCAGCAACAACCTGGTTCATCTGGTTCAGGTGTCAACCATACTGAGGAGCCATACAGACGGCTCATCTCAAGAGCTACAGACCCAGCAAGACTTGAGGAGCAATTATCAGCAAGCCAAACATCACATGAATCTTTTTCAGACTGTTGTTTGTGAACCACTTGCGAGCACAGGGCTAGAAGTTACTGCGAAGATTAAATCCCTTACAGAGCTGGACGAAAGGGAAGGAGCAGCGGATATTTTGGTTTGCGAAGTCTGGTGTGACAGTCTGCAGGAAGTCCAAGATGCGTGGGACATGCTGAAAGACTTGGATGGTGTGGAAATCGTCTCTGCGCGCGATTTTTTCGCAGTTGCATCTTACAAAAAATTCTGTAAAGTTGTGGTGTCTCTCCAGGGCTACTTGACCACAGTTGTTTTGCTGGAGAAATCTCTGAGTTCTTGGGAGGCTCAGAAAGGCCTCTCTGACGCAGCAGATTCCCTAGGTCTTTTAGACAAGACCAAGGCATCAGCTTGGGAAGTTTCTCGACTCCAACGTGATTCCGAGGTCCCCAGATGCGTGTTTGTGGCCACTGCCCTCCTGCGACTGGTGGCACTTTTATCATGTTACATCATTGGCGGACAAATTGGCCGCGTAAACAGCTGGGACCCATTTTTTGGTTCGTACTGTTGCTATTTGATTTTTTTGGATTATGAGCTCTATGAGTATGAGTGTGGAAATAGTGTTCCGAGGATGCTGGCCATGAACGTGCCCTTCTTGACATGTTTTCTGATCCTGTTGTGGGAGATACTGTGCTGTTGCTGCTGTTGCTTTTGCTTCTGCAAGCGTCGACAGAGCTTCAAAATTCGTCCACGGCCAACCCAACTCTGGTATAGGAGGTATCTGGGTGTACAGGGATGCCACTACGCCTTCAAAGTTGCAGCCCTACAGTTCTTGACAGTCATGACGCAAGGGCTTGCCAAAACCAGTTTGTTCCGGACCATCCAGGATACCCATGGCTCTGAAGCCTTGCGGGCCAGCACCGCTGTCCGCTGCTTCATCGTGCTTCTTTTGTGCAACATCCTCTTCCCAGCCATGATTCTAGTGATACCGAACTATGTCTTTAGCCGTGTTGGTGCAGCTTTGCTCGATGCAGTCTTGGACGTTGGTTACATGGTGACTTCGATCTGGCTATACGTCGTCTTTGCCACAGAAGAGTCTTTGACCGACATTTTTTTGAGCAGTTTCTTAAACTACATGTCAATATACATCTGCGTCGCACATGTGTTGTGCGTTTGTCGATCTTTGGAGACTGCAGATTGGATCGCGCTTTTCCAAGTCCCGCGTGCTCCCCCCACCGGCAAAGCCTGGAAGAGAATTCTTTTCTCCACGGCATATGTGGCTTTTGTTTCTATTCTGCTTGGGGGCATTGTCCTTGGTGCCTTCACGAGTCATGATGGGCTGTGTCCCCCTTGCCAATGCGCAGCTGTCGCCCCAACATCGCTTCTACTCGAACGCTGCGTGATTCCCATTGGCTATGTTGCGCAGGGTGCTCCTGACATGCTTGAGTTCAACTTGACGAATCGGAACATCACAAAAGTTCTGCCAGATGCATTCATTGCAAGGGGCGAACACCAAAGAGTACGATCTGTTTCCTTGTGTGGAAACCATTTGACAGAGCTGCCAGAGGGACTTTTTCGCGATCTTCTGCAACAGGAGGAGGACGATTGGGGGTCTCCTGACATTGACACTGTCGACCTGGCTGACAATAGAATCGCGACTCTTCCCCCAGGGTTGTTTCAAGCCGGATCCTCCGGAGGATTGTCTGTGATACGCGAGTTGCATTTGGAAGGAAATTGTTTGACTACGCTTCCACCTGGAGTCTTTCATGGGCTCACCTTTGGTCAGTACTGTTCCAATTCCAAATACTACAATTGCATTGGCATGTCACAGTTGCAGGTGCTGCATGCAGAAGCCATTCATGATCTCAAATTTGTTCAGAATGGCATCCTGGACATGTCTCAGAACAAGTTGCAGACGTTACATGCACAGACCTTTCATGGTCTCAACTTTCGTCAGAACGGCATCCTGAACATGTCGCAGAACAAGTTGCAGGTGTTGCATGCAGACGCCTTTCATGGTCTCAAATTTGATCAGAACGGCATCCTGGACATGTCGCAGAACAAGTTGAAGGTGTTGCATGCAGACGCCTTTCATGGTCTCACCTTTGTCTACTACGGCATCCTGGACATGTCGCAGAACAAGTTGCAGGTGTTGCATGCAGAAGCCTTTCATGATCTCAAATTTGGTCAGAACGGCATCCTGGACATGTCTCAGAACAAGTTGCAGACATTGCCTCCAAAGGTCTTTGACGGTCTCGATCTCGACCGACTGTACTTACAACAAAATGAATTGTTTCAACTGCATGCAGAGACGTTTCATGGTGTCACCTTTGGTTACAACCGCATCCTGGACATGTCGCAGAACAAGTTCCAGGATTTGCCTCCAAAAGTCTTTGGCGGTCTTGAGCTCAACCGACTATACCTACAAAACAACAATCTTGTCCGACTACATGCAGGAACCTTTCAAGGTCTCACCTTTGGTAAGAACGGCATCCTGAACATGTCGCAGAACAAGTTGCAGGTGTTGCATGCAGAGACCTTTCAAGGTCTCTCCTTTGCTAACAAGGGCATCCTGGACATGTCGCAGAACAAGCTGTCCACGCTTTCGGAGAAAGTTTTTGATGGTCTTCGGTATCTTCGCAGCCTGAGGCTGGAAGGCAACCGGCTGCGGAGTCTTGGCACCAGACTCTTCTACTGGTTGATCAACTTGGAAGAGCTGAACCTGGAGCAGAATCAGCTGATGGATCTGGATGAAGATGTTTTTGATTCTGCTTCGTCCAGTACTTGTAATTCCGCTGGCTGTGTTTATCGTTCCCTCAAGCGAAGATTGCTGAAGCTGAACCTGGGTGGCAACCAGCTCGCCACGTTACCCAATGACCTCTTCAACGGTTTCAGGGCACTCCGAAATCTGCAGCTGCAGAGCAATCTGCTGGCGAGACTTCCGCAACAGCTGTTTCAGACTCTCGGCGAAGTTCATTGGACGTTTCTTGGATTTCTAAAAGAGTATGATTCGATACGATTCATACAACAGACTTAAAGACTTATTGCTCTGAAAAAGATCAATGACAACCTCAGGTTTGACCGTTTCACACTTCCATAGCCTATGGCGTATTTTTTGGTACTTCTCGAAAAGTTCCGACGATCTGGAGCAGACTGTAAATCTAGTTCTACCCTGGGTTCCCCGATTCTGAGGGATTGCGCAGTTCTCCAAGCACAGGGGTTTCTCAAACACAAGATTTCGAAAACACCTGAATAGTTCTGTGCGAGTTACTCTGATAGTCGCAACTTTGACGTGCTGAGAACATGACGTGCCATGCTGTTGGGGAGAGGGAGTTTGTTGATTTATACTTTCTTTCTCACTGCAGCTTTGTGAGCTATTCCCACCTCAATAGCTCACAAGGCCATATTGAAAACCAGAGGTTCCCCGGTTTGTGGTGTGCTCCTTCCCATTGCCTGACGGTTGGCAGGGTTGCCATGTGAGAACCCAGATGGTTTTGGCTTGCCAACCTTCATCCACCGTGGCCTAAGGAATTTGAGCTCCTTGAAGTTGCTGAACCTGAGTCAGAATGCATTGGAAGAATTGCCTCCTAGTCTTTTCGATGGATTGAACTTGTCAGTGATCGACTTGAGCCACAACAATCTCAGAAAACTGGATTCCCAGCTGTTCGACCTGGAAAACCTCACCAGCTTGGACGTCTCGCACAACAAGTTGCAGGCACTGCCTCCAAAGGTCTTTCAGAGTGGCGTGAGCAAATTGGAGATCCTCGACCTCGCAGAGAACGAGCTATCAACGCTTCCGGCATTGTTTTTTTGTTGCAATCTCTCGATTCGCAGCCTGAAGTTGGAAGGCAACAGGCTCCAGAGACTTCACTTGGGAGACGTCTGGGGGTTGAGTTATTTGGAAGAATTGAACCTGCAGCAGAATCAGCTGGCTCATCTTGATGGAGCTGTGTTTGATGATTACGAGCATCACAACCTCAAGCGGAGCTTGTTGAAGCTGAACCTGGGTGGCAACCAGCTCGCCACGTTACCCAATGACCTCTTCAACGGTTTCAGGGCACTCCGAAATCTGCAGCTGCAGAGCAATCTGCTGGCGAGACTTCCGCAACAGCTGTTTCAGACTCTCGGCGAAGTTCATTGGACGTTTCTTGGATTTCTAAAAGAGTATGATTCGATACGATTCATACAACAGACTTAAAGACTTATTGCTCTGAAAAAGATCAATGACAACCTCAGGTTTGACCGTTTCACACTTCCATAGCCTATGGCGTATTTTTTGGTACTTCTCGAAAAGTTCCGACGATCTGGAGCAGACTGTAAATCTAGTTCTACCCTGGGTTCCCCGATTCTGAGGGATTGCGCAGTTCTCCAAGCACAGGGGTTTCTCAAACACAAGATTTCGAAAACACCTGAATAGTTCTGTGCGAGTTACTCTGATAGTCGCAACTTTGACGTGCTGAGAACATGACGTGCCATGCTGTTGGGGAGAGGGAGTTTGTTGATTTATACTTTCTTTCTCACTGCAGCTTTGTGAGCTATTCCCACCTCAATAGCTCACAAGGCCATATTGAAAACCAGAGGTTCCCCGGTTTGTGGTGTGCTCCTTCCCATTGCCTGACGGTTGGCAGGGTTGCCATGTGAGAACCCAGATGGTTTTGGCTTGCCAACCTTCATCCACCGTGGCCTAAGGAATTTGAGCTCCTTGAAGTTGCTGAACCTGAGTCAGAATGCATTGGAAGAATTGCCTCCTAGTCTTTTCGATGGATTGAACTTGTCAGTGATCGACTTGAGCCACAACAATCTCAGAAAACTGGATTCCCAGCTGTTCGACCTGGAAAACCTCACCAGCTTGGACGTCTCGCACAACAAGTTGCAGGCACTGCCTCCAAAGGTCTTTCAGAGTGGCGTGAGCAAATTGGAGATCCTCGACCTCGCAGAGAACGAGCTATCAACGCTTCCGGCATTGTTTTTTTGTTGCAATCTCTCGATTCGCAGCCTGAAGTTGGAAGGCAACAGGCTCCAGAGACTTCACTTGGGAGACGTCTGGGGGTTGAGTTATTTGGAAGAATTGAACCTGCAGCAGAATCAGCTGGCTCATCTTGATGGAGCTGTGTTTGATGATTACGAGCATCACAACCTCAAGCGGAGCTTGTTGAAGCTGAACCTGGGTGGCAACCAGCTCGCCACGTTACCCAATGACCTCTTCAACGGTTTCAGGGCACTCCGAAATCTGCAGCTGCAGAGCAATCTGCTGGCGAGACTTCCGCAACAGCTGTTTCAGACTCTCGGCGAAGTTCATTGGGCGTTTCTTGGATTTCTAAAAGAGTATGATTCGATACGATTCATACAACAGACTTAAAGACTTATTGCTCTGAAAGAGATCAATGACAACCTCAGGTTTGACCGTTTCACACTTCCATAGCCTATGGCGTATTTTTTGGTACTTCTCGAAAAGTTCCGACGATCTGGAGCAGACTGTAAATCTAGTTCTACCCTGGGTTCCCCGATTCTGAGGGATTGCGCAGTTCTCCAAGCACAGGGGTTTCTCAAACACAAGATTTCGAAAACACCTGAATAGTTCTGTGCGAGTTACTCTGATAGTCGCAACTTTGACGTGCTGAGAACATGACGTGCCATGCTGTTGGGGAGAGGGAGTTTGTTGATTTATACTTTCTTTCTCACTGCAGCTTTGTGAGCTATTCCCACCTCAATAGCTCACAAGGCCATATTGAAAACCAGAGGTTCCCCGGTTTGTGGTGTGCTCCTTCCCATTGCCTGACGGTTAGCAGGGTTGCCATGTGAGAACCCAAATGGTTTTGGCTTGCCAACCTTCATCCACCGTGGCCTAAGGAATTTGAGCTCCTTGAAGTTGCTGAACCTGAGTCAGAATGCATTGGAAGAATTGCCTCCTAGTCTTTTCGATGGATTGAACTTGTCAGTGATCGACTTGAGCCACAACAATCTCAGAAAACTGGATTCCCAGCTGTTCGACCTGGAAAACCTCACCAGCTTGGACGTCTCGCACAACAAGTTGCAGGCACTGCCTCCAAAGGTCTTTGACGGTTTTCGGCTTAACCAAGTGTACCTCCAAAACAATGACCTGTCTCAACTGGATGCAGAGACGTTTCATGGTCTAGCCTTTGGTCAAAACAGCATCCTAGACATGTCGCAGAACAAGTTGCAGGACTTGCCTCCAAAGGTCTTTGACGGTTTGAAACTCAACAAACTGTACCTACCAAACAATGACTTGTCTCAGCTGCATGCAGACGCCTTTCATGGTCTCTCCTTTGGCTACTACGGCATCCTGGACATGTCGCAGAACAAGTTGCAGTCGTTGCATGCAGAAGCCTTTCATGGCCTCAAATTTGGTCAGAACGGCATCCTGGACATGTCGCAGAACAACTTGCAGGATTTGCCTCCAAAGGTCTTTGACAGTCTCGAGCTCGACCGACTGTATCTTCAGAACAACAATCTTATCCAACTACATACAGGAAGCTTTCAAGGTCTCACCTTTGGTCGGTACTGTTCCAATTGCATCCTGGACATTTCGCAGAACAAGTTGCAGGTGCTGCATGCAGGAGCCTTTCATGGTCTCAAATTTGGTCAGAACGGCATCCTGGATATGTCGCAGAACAAGTTGCAGGAATTGCCTGTAAAGGTCTTTGACAGTCTCGAGCTCGACCGACTGTATCTTCAGAACAACAATCTTATCCAACTACATACAGGAAGCTTTCAAGGTCTCACCTTTGGTCGGTACTGTTCCAATTGCATCCTCGACATTTCGCAGAACAAGTTGCAGGTGCTGCATGCAGGAGCCTTTCATGGTCTCACCTTTGCATTCAAGAGCATCCTGGACATGTCGCAGAACAAGTTGCAGTCGTTGCATGCAGAAGCCTTTCATGGCCTCAAATTTGGTCAGAACGGCATCCTGGATATGTCGCAGAACAAGTTGCAGGAATTGCCTGTAAAGGTCTTTGACAGTCTCGAGCTCGACCGACTGTACCTTCAGAACAACAATCTTATCCAACTACATACAGGAACCTTTCAAGGTCTCACCTTTGGTAAGAACGGCATCCTGGACATGTCGCAGAACAAGTTGCAGGTGTTGCATGCAGAAACCTTTCAAGGTCTCTCCTTTGCTAACAAGGGCATCCTGGACATGTCGCAGAACAAGTTGCAGGATTTGCCTCCAAAAGTCTTTGGCGGTCTTGAGCTCAACCGACTATACCTACAAAACAACAATCTTGTCCAACTACATGCAGGAACCTTTCAAGGTCTCACCTTTGGTAAGAACGGCATCCTGAACATGTCGCAGAACAAGTTGCAGGTGTTGCATGCAGAAACCTTTCAAGGTCTCTCCTTTGCTAACAAGGGCATCCTGGACATGTCGCAGAACAAGCTGTCCACGCTTCCGGAGAAGGTTTTTGATGGTCTTTGGTATCTTCGCAGCCTGGACCTGGCGGAGAACGAGTTGGTGACGCTTTCGTCAGATGTCTTTCACAGTCTCCCGGATCTTGGCAGCCTGAGGCTGGAACGCAACCGGCTCCGGAGCCTTGGCGACAGACCCTTCTACCAATTGTACCACCTAGAAGAGCTGCACCTGGCACAGAATCTGCTGGAAGATCTGGATGATCATGTCTTTGATTCTCTCTCGGTCAGCGTTTGTGATTCCGCTGGTTGTGTTCATCATTCCCTCAAGCGAAGATTGTTGGAGCTGCACCTGGCTGGCAACCGGCTCACTGCTTTGCACGATGGCCTCTTCAAGGGTTTCAGGTCCCTTCGAACACTGCAGCTGCAGAGCAATCAGCTGGCGAGACTTCCGAAACAGCTGTTTCAGATTCCCGGCAAAGTTTATGGGGTTATAGAATTTCCCAGTATGGAAGACTATTCTTTGGAAGGGATCAATCACAACCTCAACTTCCATAGCAGTCACCATATTTTTTTTCACAGAAACAAAACTGGTGACCATTTTACACTTTATAGCCTGTGAATGCCTATGACATCTATGACAGCTTGTAATCTGCTGTGGATTCCCAAGGTTCGCCAGGGATTGCACAGTTCCGGTTTCTCAAACACCATGACCTGCTGTGTTGGAGATTTTGGTGGGTTTACTCATAGTCTTTTCCTCAAAGACTTGCAATTTTGCGAGCTATTCACAGCCCAGTTCAAGGTGCTTTATGCAAGTGCTGAGAGAAAATGTGAACTGGCCTCCAAAGATCTAGCTGTGGGAGGTTTGTGGTGAAGGCTTTCCAATTGCGCCGGTTGTTACGGTTGCCATGTGGAAATGGAAACCGTTTGGGGTTGCTGAACAGAATTTATCCCTGCCGAGGAATTTGAGCTCGTTGAAGTTGCTGAACTTGAGTCGAAATGCACTCGAAGAACTGCCTCCCAGTCTTTTTGACGGACTGAACTTGAAGGTGATCGACTTGAGTCACAACAAGCTGAGAACGCTGAATGCTACGCAGTTCGACCTGGAGAGCCTCACTACTTTGGACCTGCGTGGAAACCGCCTGACTGACGCCACCCTGCAGGACCTGGCACGCCTCAAGGTGGAGCTCCATGTGGATTGAGGGTGCTGTCCTGGAAATTGATGGAAATTGCCTTCGCAACTTGGGTCTGATTCTGATGATCTCAAGTTTTCTCCTCTCCAAGGCGGTGTTGAAGCTGCTAATTCACAGGTTTTCTCGCTGCAAGACTCGGAGCAAAGGCTCGTGGCAAAAGTTGCGCGTCAGCTGTGAAGGTAGACACTCTCTGCGCATGGTGCATGCGCTGCACGCAGCATACCATGATTGGTAGAGATGTTGCTTTGCAGGTCTTGTGGAGGAAAGATGCAATGTTGCAACAATTGACAGACCTTTGTGTTGGCCGAAACATTGAGGCTCCAGTTTCAGTTGCGCCAGGAAACAGAATGGTTACCGTGGATTCCCATGGCATTTGCACCATGTTTTTCCGCCATGACTTTGGAACCCTGATCTTATGATTGGCATTTGAGGCCCGCCCAACATGAAAAGAGATCTGAACCATGGGCAACAGGTGGCCAGGCTGAACGGCTGAACGGTGGACAAGTTTTGATCCTACACAGCTGCAGAAACACTTCCACTGCCATGGCCCGTATTCAAGTCCCAAAGAAGGGCACCTTCACGTGCGACAGCAGCACGGCAGAGTTGGCAGTGGAGTACTTGCGGCAAGTGTCACTTGGCTGTCACAGGCGGATCCAATGCGCCGTGACACGATTGGACTTTGATTCGTTTTCGCGTTAGGTTTCTTGTTAACTGTTATATATTTATAATCTGTTCATATCTTTCAATGAAATGAAACGATGGCAAAACTGTGGGGTCGTCCTCCAAGCATTCCTGCAAGCGCTTGAGGTTGGATGAGCCTTGGCATGGCAATGTGCTGCTGTCCTGTGGTCCACACAAGTTGAAACCCAAACAGCAGCTGCAGGAATTCAATGCCGATTTTGTGCCTTGGTACGGGGCGTTGGTTTGTTTTTGTGGATGCTCCTGGTAACTTGATCTGCAGACAGACGGTTTGTGCTGCACTTGTTGCGAAATCTGCACGTACCCTGGAAGAACGCAGGTCCGGAGGGTTGAAGGAGTTTTCAAGACCAGAGAGGCAGACTGTCCCCCATGCTCTCAGGTGTTCGCGAACTATTCGTGGCTCAGTTCCGGACCTCCAATTAATATCGCAGCAACAGAACTGCGAGGAATCACTATCGAACAGTTGTCTTCTTTGCAGCTTGGACTACACCAGCGCACAGCATGGCAGATGCCACGGCAATTCTGTTTTTTTGTTTTCGCGATCGCTTGTGAGCAAAGGAAAAAGCCTGAACACATCACATCACATACTCGCAGACCCAAACTGGGCACCGAGGTTGGTCTTTGTAGAAGACGTTGCCTCCAGCTGGTGCGAAGCACACCACTTGGGATACGGGCAGCCTTTGTCTTTTGAGGCCAGGTGTTGGCATTATTTCGGTCGTGTCAGAGGCGCTGCAAGGAAGCGACTTAAAAGATGAAAAGCGTAAAAAACAGCTGATAGTTCCAATTCTGTTTCGTTGGAATTCCTCATTCCGAAGGCCTGCTGCATTTCCGATTCTAGTTGCTGGACTTCAGTTGCGAATCTCCGATCCGCCAGGCCTTCAATTTATATCATGCAAACTTCTGGGTCATTGGACCCGCCACGGCTGGTCATGGAAGAGGTGGCTGCAGCTACGTCGAGTTGGTGGCCACCTCGGCCCAGATGCAACGCCCCTTGTGGCAACTCGGCTCCGGGCGCACTTTGGGAAGACATTTTTGGTGGAGAAAATGGGTTATTAGAGTCGTGGGATGATAAACAAGGGTACAACCGCAACTCGACCCAAACCAAGTCTTACACTTGCAGATGTAGTCATGTAGTCATGATGGAGTTACGATACCTGGGCACGGATTCAAAACTCATTGCATTCTAATGGAACAAAACATGTTGGGTAATTTGTTTGTTCTACAGCTCCAAACTGTTTAGACATAAGATGTAGCTGTTGAGGTTTGTGTCCCACGCTTGGCTGGAGCCGGTGTGCAAGTTCGTGGCGTGCCTGAAGCGGCACGCTTCTTTGCGCGAGTTGCCTGATCAGACAGCCTACTGGGTGTGCGCCTACGCCAACAACCAGCATCAGCTGGAGAATGAGATTTGCAACAACCCACGGAAGACGTCCTTCTATCGTGCCATCAAGTTGTGCGCTGGGGTCTTGCTGGTCTTGGACCAGAACGCCACGCCCTTCACTCGGACCTTTGCCTGGAAGTCGGCGTCCAAAGAGTGGCAGTGGGGGCAAGGGTCGGCAAGGAGAGAGACTTTTGAGGTAGGATATCATCATTCTGAAAGAACGTTGAGAATCCATGCTCTGATAAATTGACAAGTTGGCTTCTTAAGGATACTCGGTTTGCACTTGCCCATCCACTAATCTGCAACGTTTGAGGATTTGGTGTTGCTTTGAAGAGTCCATTGCGGTGGAAGAGCGCAACAAGGGGACTCTTGGCGATGACTTTGCCATACAATCCCTCAAGGATCCTCAAGGATCATTACGTAATTTTCAGATCTTGACCTTTTTCTTTCACTGTCGCTCTTTCCGTTTACTTCGATCATCCGTGTCCATGTTCTTCCCATCCTTGTCCCAGTTGAGCCGGTGCTCTGAGCCTTCCAGGAACCCTTTGCTGCTGGATGTGGCGGCCACGGAGAACGGCCGCGCACACGTCATCACCGATGGCCTGGTGGGCGCCGAGCAGCAGATGATGCCGCTCTTAGGATTTCTCGCCAAGAGTCGACGAGAGGCGGAATTTCCCACCGAGATCTTAATGCGACTCGGCCACTGAACGGTTGGGTTCTTGAGCAATTAATTTTTGGGCAATGGTGCGGTGCCAATCAGCATCAGCATTCTTCAAGTGATTGTGTGAGGCAGGTGGAGAGAAAGGGAGGGATGTCAGATGTCGGTGTCTCTCCGCTTGTCCAAGCCCAAGACATGGGTACGGTGCATGATAGTACATGCGCAGAGGTTACAGATCGCTTTTGGGGGTCCAGGGATTGATGCACTGAACATGCCAAGCTAAGGAAAGGCTTGAATGTCGACATTGCCAGTGCTACGGCAAGCAAAGCCTCTGACAAGACAACCATCTTAAATAGCATTCGATTGCCGCGAGCAGGGACCCAAGTTCTTCAAGAAGAAGCCCAAGCCACGCATGAAAGCGACTTGTTTGAACTTTGGAGTCGTCTTTTTCTGCTCCTTCTCGCCACCTTTAGACACAGGTTCAATATGGTTCAATGATGTTCAATGCCTCATCAGGCCTCATCCATCCTTTGACCGTTGGACGCAACCTGATACTTCCCTTTTTGCAGCTATCCCAGATCTTCTCAAACACAGAGCTCCTCAAAACCATAGCGGCTAGTATTCGTAGGCGGGCCTCACTGGTTCGATTTGGCTGTGCAAGTTCCAAGACTTGGCAGGCTATGATGCGGTGGGCCGTGCACTGGCTGGGCACTTTGCTTTAGCCAATTGGCTCCTCGGATTTTCCAGAACTCATTCGGTCTGTTGCATTCTGTTGTGGGGTGTAGGTCCAGAAAAGAGGTCTGAAATGCGACGAAGAGGTTTTTTTGAAGTGATGTTTTCCTTCAAGCAGTCTTTGTTCGAAGCAAACGTTTCCTTATGATCCCTTTTGTGGATGGCCTGATGGCTATAATGTATTCTGCAACCAGCTTGGATCTTGGCCAGAATCTTGTGATTTTTGCTGCAAAGTTGAATCCTGAGAAACCAACGGGTGTGAAACCTGAGGTTTTCCTCCGTTGCGAACGGCTTGGACACTTCTAGGCGGGTCCATCAAAGGGCAGGGCATCAACTTACCCGTGGCTCTGCATGGAAGGAGGAAATTGTGCAGAAAAAAATGCACCATTCAACCTGACAGTTTATGGTTGTGATGGATTGGAACAGGGGGAACCCATCGTCCGAACGTATATCGATAATATAATATGATATCACAATTTCACGGCATTGTACTTATGCAGATATGGTTTTTCCTTGCTTTCTTCGCGGCCAGCAGATACTGCAAGCAGTTTACTCACCGACCTTGTCCAGTGTTGCAGTGGTCCAGGCTCTTGACAGCTCTACAAAATGATGATTTGCGACGTGCGGTGCAGCTCTCATTGACAGGTTGCTGCAACCTGGCTGAAATGGCTGACAATTTCCGGAAGAAAGCGATACCACATGCTACATATTGGATCATTTTGGTGGGATAAGACGGTCGAAGATCATAGAATGTGCATGGTATGGGGTCAGGGGTCGTGACTGTGTCCTAAGACCAGGCTCAGTTTGTTGCGATGGATTTTGTGGGAGGGGGAAAGGAAAAAATGTATGACTTGAGGGCCCAGCGGCTTGAGCCCAGCCCTACCCCAGCCGAGGCAAGTTTGATGGCATGCAGCTGAGCACTTTCCTGGACCACTTGCCACCTCAACTGCAGATCCTCCGTGCCCTGGTGTGGAGATGGGACATGGTGGGGCTTGTTGCCCAAAATATCGGACAAATTCAAAGGTTGAAGTCTTCCAATCGAGCTACACCCCTCCGAACTCGTTACTCTGGGAACCCACTCAATTAAACCTGGATCGACTGAGGCACATCCAACTTTGTTCCCCCAATTCAGGGAACAGGACGCAAAATTCCAGCCATGCACTGAGTCTCCGTCCGAGGTTTAGACCTGGGCTTCACGGCCGTGGAAAGTGTGCAGTTGGACGCACCGTTGTCGGAACTGCAGGAGCTCTCCCTGCGCTTCACCAAGACATCTCTGCGCCAGGTACAGTAAGGGTTGGGAGGTGATTCGAACTTTGGGCAGGTAACAACTGCTCCATTTTTCAGGGTTGGCATTGTTTGTCAATTTTCCTGCCACTGTCTATTGATTCGGCGAGTTTTGGTCGTTTTCAGATTGGTGAAGTGGCTTGGTGTGCTGGTTTCAACTGGTGCATGTCCGGCAGGTTGAGTTTTACTGACATTGTGCGCAGGTCAATCTTCAGCGGAATATGATGCCCAAGCTGAGACTCTTGGTGCAGATGGTTGAAGACTGTTGAATTCAATGGTCGACAACGTTGGATGACATGATGTTGGCAAGACAACCATGGGTTTGGGGTTTGGGAACTTGATATTTTGAGTTTATGAGCATTATGAACATTCATTTATTCATTCAGTTTCGTGTTGAAGAGGTCGAGAGGATGCGATTTGATGCGATATTCCCCCAAGCTCCAAACGGAGGGAGACCCAAGTGTCCCACCAGGAACCAAAGAGATGAAAGAGTTCAAGTTCATCCAAGCAAAAATTTGCACAGAAAGCTGCGTGTCAGAATCTCCACCTTTCCAACCACAACCACAACTAGTTCCTGCTTTTTTTTTTTTATTTTTTTTCGCCTCCGAGGATCCTTGCAACTTTGGTTGTCCCATTTGCCAGAGCTCGAGGACTGCAGTTTGGATTGTCATTGATTCTCAGGTTTTTTTTACTGATTCATTGCAACACGAAGCATGATCAGTGTATCATAGTTAGTGAGTTAGTGCATCCAAAAAACAAACAGGTGTTACGGTCAACTTTTTTGGGTCTGCGCAAAACATTTTAAAATCACGACATGTTGCCGTTTCTTAACAAGTGCGCTCCAGATCGTTCACTCTAGTTTCCCAAGCCAGCAACCAGCTCCCCAACCAGCCAAAGCTTATAAGAAAGTCAATCGCAACGTTTTTCCAACGTTTTCTCCATTTCCAGTCGTTTCGCATCGTTTCAAACATGGGAATCTGACCACAGTGACAGTTTCGAGCCCCAGGAGCTGCAGCTGGACTTGGAACTCACTCAAGGTCCTCGAGCTTTGCAAGAGCTGGTTCTGCACGTACACAGCTGTCCCAAGTTGCCCAAAACTGCCAAGCAACTTGTCCAAATGTCCAACTTTGCCAGCTGTTTACAGTACGTGTGCAAGTCATCGGTACAATGAATTACGACATACAGATTTTTCTTCCAAGAGCTTTGAACTCAGGCAAGCCCTCTATGACTCTATTCACCCTTGGCCATGGCAAGCGGACAAGTGGATCAGTATCGAAGAGGCTCAAACTGCTTGGTTACAGATTTTCCAAGGAGGAACCCGAGATCAAAATTCTCCAGCAGATGATCTCCCCAAACCAAAGTTTGAAGCTGACAAGTTTCAGGATGTCAGCACAGACATGCCGTTTCCGTGTGGCCACCCATATTGCAACCAGTTTCACGACAACGCACATGGGTTTTGTGACAAGCATCGCTGGAGTCACGTTTGGAGGAAGGCATTTTCTGCAGTTATGAGAATCTGCCACTGGCTGGAGTTGATACTCCTTCTGACAATCCAAGCTGCGGCAGAAATTCAAAGCAGAGTTTTGCTCCTGCTGATTTTGCTTTCCTTACTTCCAGCAACTTGTATTTTCCTGGAGGAGAGCACTGGGATATCAATCGCTTCAATTTGCGTCACTTTCCTTGTGGTAGCAGTCGGCAGTTGCTTCTACACAGCCACACGCTTGGATAGTATGCAGCAAAGGGTATTCAAGTTGGCACTTGCAACTGAAGCAAACTACTTTCAGGTGCTACACCCCACAGCAGACACGAGCGAACATTTGATTCAAGTGTCCACCATGTTGACAAACCATTCAGGTGGTTTATCTCAGGAGTTGGCGCAGCCTGAACAAGACTTAAAGAGCAGATATATCGAAGCGCTATGCCAATTGATTCATTTTCAAAGGGCTGTTTGTGACCCGCTGACCAGCATGGGATTGGAAGTTGTGGCGAACATCAAGTCAGTTACAGAGTTGGATGAACGGGAAGGAACCGCTGACAATATTTTGTACTTCGAAGTCATGAGCGATGGATTGCAGCAAGTTCAGGATGCGTGGGAAATGCTTCAGACCCTGGATGTAGAGATTGTCTCTGCACACGATTTCTTTGCTGTGGCATCTTCCAGAAAGTGCTGCCGAATTGTGGTGTCTCTGCGGGGTTACTTGGCAATGATCTTTTTGTTGGAGAAATCTCTGAGCTTCTTGGAATCTCAGAGAGGCCTCAGTGATGCAGCAAATTCCCTTGGACTGCTTGACAAAACCACGGCAGCAAGCTGGGAAGCCTCTGGACGTCAAGGTGCGTCTGAGTTCCCCAGGTCTGTTTTTGCGGCTACGGCCCTCCTACGGCTACTGGCACTTTACTCGTCTTTCATCATCGCCATTTTCATACACAAGCTGGGATCTGGAAAATACGACCCAAATGAGCAAGGTCCTTTCTCTCCAAGGTTGTCCGCCATGGCCTTGCCCTTTTGGGTATGTGGTGCGGTTCTCTTGTGGGAATTTCTGCGCAGCTGTTGTGATACCTTTGCTGATGGAAGCACTAGAGCTTTAAAGATCCGGCCGCGGCCGACGCAGGTGTGGTACAGGAAATACTTGGGTGTACAGGGACGATACTATGCCTTCAAGGTTGCAGCCTTACAGCTCATCACTGTTGTGATCCAAGGACTTGCGAAAGCAAGTCTGTTTGGTGCCATTCGGGATCAACGTAGTTCTGAAGCCTTGAATTCCGCATCTGTCCACTGCTTCATGGGACTTCTGCTGTGCAACTGCATATTTCCTGCCTTGGTTTTGGCCTTTCCCAACTGCGTTTCTTCACGTGTTGGAGCAGCTGTAATGGACGCTTTTTTGGATTTCGGCTACTTGATCACCTCTTTGTGGGTCTACATCGACTTCGCGTCACCAGAGCATTTTGCACCCATCTTCCTGGAAACATTCTTGAATTATGCATCAATTTACATCTGTATCGCACACATTTTGTGTGTCTGCCGTTCCTTGGAAACGGCTGATTGGGCCTCACTTTTTCAAGTGCAACATGCTGAGCCAATGTGGGGTCCCGTGAGAAGGAGGCTTTTCTCTTCTGCGTATGCGTGTGCTCTGGTGATTTTTGTCGGTGTCATGCTGGGAGACATTGTCTACTTGCATGAGGCTGGACCCTGCTCACCTTGCAGTTGTTCCGCTACTGCGCCAGGATCCCTTCTGCTGGAGCGTTGTCCGTTTCGCAGCGGCTATTTTGCGTATAGGGCCCCACCCTTGGCGTTGGATTTGGCCAAGCGCAACATTACCGAAATCCTCCCAGATGCATTTCTTGCAGCAGGTAGAGTGCGCTCAAGGGTAACATCCCTGTCGTTGCGAGGAAACCACCTGACAGAACTGCCAGAGGGCCTCTTTGTGGATCTTCTGGACCAGGACTTCATCAACATCACTTCCCTGGACCTTGGTTACAACAGGCTGATGGCACTTTCAGCAGGTGTCTTTCAAACGCGTTCCGCCCGAAAGGTACGTATGGACAGCTTGCATTTGGAAAGCAACCACTTTACAACCCTTCCAGCTGGAGTCTTTAAAGGTGTGGAAGTGGACCAAGTGTACCTACGAAACAACAATCTGACCCAGCTACACGCAGAGGCCTTTCATGGTCTCACATTTGGCCAGAACAGAACCCTGGACATCTCGCAGAACAACTTGCGGCAATTGCCTCCAAAGGTCTTTGACGGTCTTGAGCTTGACCGACTGTACCTACAAAACAATAACTTGTCTCAGCTGCATGCAGAGACCTTTCAAGGTCTCACCTTTGGTCAGAATGGCATCCTGGACATGTCGCGGAACAAGTTGCAGACATTACATGCAGATACCTTTCAAAATCTCACTTTTGGTCAGAATGGCATCCTGGACATGTCGCAGAACACCTTGCAGGTGTTGCATGCAGAAGCCTTCCATGGGCTCACTTTTGGTGGGAACGGCATGCTGGACATGTCGCACAACCAATTGCGGGCTTCGATTGCAGAGACCTTTCGTGGTCTCGCCTTTAGTGAGAACGGCATCCTGGACATGTCAGAGAACCAATTGCAGGACTTGCCTCCAAAGCTCTTTGACGGTTTATGGCTCAAGGGACTGTACCTACAAAAAAATGACTTGTCTCAGCTGCATGCACAGACCCTTCATGGTCTCACCTTTGGTCAGAATGGCATCCTGGACATGTCGCAGAATCAATTGCAGGAATTCAGTGCAGACACCTTTCATGGTCTCATTTTTGGTGAGAAATTCATCCTGAACATGTCGCAGAACACATTGCAGGTGTTACATGCAGATACCTTTCGAGGTCTCACTTTTGGTCAGAATGGCATCCTGGACATGTCGCAGAACAAGTTGCGCACATTACATGCAGATACCTTTCAAGGTCTCACTTTTGGTCAGAATGGCATCCTGGACATGTCGCGGAACAAGTTGCAGACACTACATTCAGATACCTTTCAAGGTCTCGCTTTTGGTCAGAATGGCATCCTGACCATGTCGCAGAATCAATTGCAGGAATTGAGTGCAGACACCTTTCATGGTCTCATTTTTGGTGAGAAATTCATCCTGAACATGTCGCAGAACACATTGCAGGTGTTACATGCAGATACCTTTCAAGGTCTCACTTTTGGTCAGAATGGCATCCTGGACATGTCGCAGAACAAGTTGCACATTACATGCAGATACCTTTCAAGGTCTCACTTTTGGTCAGAATGGCATCCTGGACATGTCGCAGAACGCATTGCAGGTGTTGCATGCAGATACCTTTCAAGGTCTCACCTTTGGTGAGAACGGCATCCTGGACATGTCGCAGAACAAGTTGCACATATTACATGCAGATACCTTTCAAGGTCTCACTTTTGGTCAGAATGGCATCCTGGACATGTCGCAGAACAAGTTGCACATATTACATGCAGATACCTTTCAAGGTCTCACTTTTGGTCAGAATGGCATCCTGGACATGTCGCAGAACAAGTTGCACATATTACATGCAGATACCTTTCAAGGTCTCACTTTTGGTCAGAATGGCACCCTGGACATGTCGCAGAACAAGTTGCAAATATTACATGCAGATACCTTTCAAGGTCTCACTTTTGGTCAGAATGGCATCCTGGACATGTCGCAGAACAAGTTGCAGACATTACATGCAGAAACCTTTCAAAATCTCACATTTGGTGAGAAAGGCATCTTGGACATGTCGCAGAACACATTGCAGGTGTTGCATGCAGATACCTTTCAAGGTCTCGCTTTTGGTCAGAATGGCATCCTGACCATGTCGCAGAATCAATTGCAGGAATTGAGTGCAGACACCTTTCATGGTCTCATTTTTGGTGAGAAATTCATCCTGAACATGTCGCAGAACACATTGCAGGTGTTACATGCAGATACCTTTCAAGGTCTCACTTTTGGTCAGAATGGCATCCTGGACATGTCGCAGAACACCTTGCAGGTGTTGCAGGCAGAAGCCTTCCATGGGCTCACTTTTGGTGTGAATGGTATGCTGAACATGTCGCATAACCAATTGCGGGCTTTGATTGCAGAGACCTTTCGTGGTCTCACCTTTCGTTACAATGGCATACTGGACATCTCGGACAACACGTTGCAGGACTTGCCCCCAAAGCTCTTTGACGGTTTATGGCTCAAGGGACTGTACCTACAAAAAAATGACTTGTCTCAGCTGCATTCAGACACCTTTCGTGGTCTCACCCTTTCCAGTGGCATACTGGACATCTCGGACAACACGTTGCAGGACTTGCCTCCAAAGCTCTTTGACGGTTTATGGCTCAAGGGACTGTACCTACAAAACAATGACTTGTCCCAGCTGCATGCAGAGACCTTTCGTGGTCTCACCCTTTACAATGGCATTCTGGACATTTCGCAGAACAGGTTGCAGGACTTGCCTCCAAAGCTCTTTGACGGGTTCAAGCTCAACCAACTGCACCTACATAGCAATGTATTGTCTCAGCTGCATGCAGAGACCTTTCATGGTCTTACCTTTGCTGACAAAGGCATCCTGGACATGTCAAAGAACCAATTGCAGGACTTGCCTCCAAAGCTCTTTGACGGTTTGAAGCTCAACCAACTGTCCCTACGAAGCAATGACTTGTCTCAGCTGCATGCAGAGACCTTTCGTGGTCTCACCCTTCGTTACAATGGCATCCTGGACATGTCAAAGAACCAATTGCAGGACTTGCCTCCAAAGCTCTTTGACGGTTTCAAGCTCAACCAACTGCACCTACAAAACAATGACTTGTCTCAGCTGCATGCAGAGACCTTTCGTGGTCTCACCCTTTACAATGGCATTCTGGACATTTCGCAGAACAGGTTGCAGGACTTGCCTCCAAAGCTCTTTGATGGTTTCAAGCTCAACCAACTGCACCTACATAACAATGTATTGTCTCAGCTGCATGCAGAGACCTTTCATGGTCTTACCTTTGCTGACAAAGGCATCCTGGACATGTCAAAGAACCAATTGCAGGACTTGCCTCCAAAGCTCTTTGACGGTTTGAAGCTCAACCAACTGTCCCTACGAAGCAATGACTTGTCTCAGCTGCATGCAGAGACCTTTCGTGGTCTCACCCTTCGTTACAATGGCATCCTGGACATGTCAGAGAACCAATTGCAGGACTTGCCTCCAAAGCTCTTTGACGGTTTCAAGCTCAACCAACTGCACCTACAAAACAATGACTTGTCTCAGCTGCATGCAGAGACCTTTCGTGGTCTCACCCTTTACAATGGCATACTGGACATTTCGCAGAACAGGTTGCAGGACTTGCCTCCAAAGCTCTTTGACGGTTTCAAGCTCAACCAACTGCACCTACAAAACAATGCCTTGTCTCAGCTGCATGCAGAGACCTTTCATGGTCTCACCTTTAATTATGGGTGGTCGAATTGCACCCTGGACATCTCGCAAAACAAGCTGCAGGACTTGCCTCCGAAGGTCTTTAACGGCACGGGTCATTTGGAGATCCTGGACCTGGCAGACAACGAGCTGTCGACGGTTTCGGACGATGCCTTTCGCGGTCTCTCGTCTCTTCGCAGCCTGAGGCTGGAAGGCAACAGGCTCCGGAGTCTTGGCACCAGACCCTTCTACTGGTTGTACAGCTTGATCGAGCTGAACCTGGAGCAGAACCAGCTGACAGATCTGGATGAAGATGTCTTTATTTCGAGATATGAGGTTGAATATGATTCGTATTATTCAAAGCATTATACCCTCAAGCGGAGTTTGATGAAGCTGAACCTGGGTGGCAACCGGCTCACAACGTTGCCCGGTGGCCTCTTCAACGGTTTCACAAATCTTCGAAAGCTGCAGCTGCAGAGCAATCAGCTGGAGAGACTTCCGCCAAAGCTGTTTCAGACTCTCGGCAAAGTTCGTTGGGCGTTTTCGGAACTTTCCAGAGAGTATGTGATGCAAGATTTATTCCTCTAAAATGGATCAATGACAGCCTCATCTTCAGTGTCATTAATCATTTAAGTAACCGACAAAATTCTTGTACTGTATGTAATGCTAGTTTAGTCTTGCTTCGCCTTGGCCTTTCTGAGGTTGCTCAAATCCTTCATAACCGATAGGGGACAACCCTATACATCCCCATTTGTGATACCTCCGGGAGCAGTGAAATCCTGACAACCGATAGAGGAGGACCCTAATTTGTGCATGGCATTAAATTCAACACATATTTATTTTTGTCCGCTACTCATTTGTTTCCTTTTATATAAACGCCAGAACTTCTGACAATTTCGCAGCTTATGACAAAACAATGTGTCGTTTGCAAAAGCTCTGAAGATCTGACGCAGTAATCTGTCTCTGTGAGTTCCCAAGGTCCGCCAGGGGTTGCACAGTTCCTACAAGGTTTTCTTAAACTTGGATGGTTTTTCTATCAGGTTATTGACCCTCTGTCTGGGCCAAAACATGTCAGGAATTGTTTCCTGAACACATGCTGCTGCCACACAAAACTTGACATACTGCCACGCTAAACCTTTACTACTGCCATGCTGCACCTTTACTACTGCCATGCTGCACCTTTACGACTGCCACGCTGAAAGTTTGGCTCCTGCCACGCTGAACCTTCACTACTGCCACGTTGAAAGCTTGTCTACTGCCACGTTGAAAGCTTGTCTACTGCCACGCTAAACCTTCACTACTGCCACGCTGAAAGCTTGATTACTGCCACAGCAAACCTTCACTACTGCCACGCTGAACCTCTACTGACTACTGCCCCACACAACTCTGGACAAGTGTGTAAATATACATAAATATAGAGTATTATGTCAGCATATTGCAGTGAATTATATATATATATATATATACAGAGTCTACAGCCCCTTCAAAACCTTCTCCACCCCATGGTTATGACAAAATTAAGTGATTAATTAGTGACTTTCTCAGTCATCGCGATTCACACGTACAGGTGCCTGACCCTTCTGTGCAATCAGCATGGTTTAGTAACTTGTAAAAAAACTACTCAAGAAGAAAAGTTGCTAAAACTGTCTTGTATTGTTCTGCCTTAGCCTTGGCCGCCTGAACTTTAACCCTTTGACATGATTATGGCGATCAGTGGTGAATGAACAATTCATGATTAAAAAAATCATGTTTACTACTATTTTGCCCACACTTCAATATATAATAGTAGAAGCAAATTTATCCAGTTATTGTCTCGCCATTTCCAACAGTTTTCAGCCACTGTACCTGTTTGATGTCTCAAATTAAGGTGAATGATGAATTTGATACTTTGTGATTTCTCTGCCTTAAAGGTGTGGACCGCATGGTTAGTGTTAGTCTTCCAAACTCGCAAGCATTCAAACACATATTTAAGATTTAAGATAAGACTTTAGTCTATTTGATTTTCAAGAATGCTTCATTATAATTATCAACAACATGGTGCATTCATGCTAAAGCTCTTCTGATGCAGTATCAACATCAAAATCAAAACCAAAAAGAAAGAGTCTAAATGACATATCAATTGAAGAAAAATATTCTGATACCCAAAAGGAAAAACAGAAAGAAACAACAAACAAAGACAAATCAATCAAACATCAAGTTGGGAAAAATATATTGAGGCCCGAAAGGGACAAAAAGGAGCAATCATGTCAAAAGAACACATAATTATCAAGACCCCTCCAAAAAAAGGAACAAATTGAAAACAAAAAAAAGGCTGGATTTCAAACCGCCACGCGTGGCAGGTGAGACCCGCTGCACGACCTGCCACGCGTGGCAGATGGGACCCGCCACGCGTGGCAGGTGAGACCCGCCGCAGGTTGACCTGCACACGTGGCAGGTGGAAAAACCCTTGACCTGCCACACCCAAAACCTTGACCTGCCACGCCCAAACCCTAGACGTGCCGCGCACAAACCCTTGACCTGCCACGCCCAAACCTTTGACCTGCCACACCCAAAGCCTTTGACCTGCCACACCCAAACCCTAGACCTGCCACGCACAAACCCTGGACCTGCCACACACAAACCCAGGATCTGCCACACACACAAACCCTTGACCTGCAACACACTCCTGTGAATTATCAATTGAACAAATGTGTAAGCTGATTGAAAAATCAAAATATCAATTTTGAAAACAAATGCAAAATGAATTATAAATTATGAATATTATCCGCTACAATTAAGTAGTATAAACTGTAGGATAGGTTTTGATGGAATGTATGTATAGGCTCAAAAGTCAACGGTGCTGAATGTTTCTTAAGTCTTTGAAAGGGGTCCTTAGGATAAAAAAGTCCTGGACAAACATGCTTACTATGCACGCGGGCGGAGTGCGCACAGTACGCATGGCAGTCGAGGACCCCTTTCATCTTGAGGGCCCTTTTCAGGGGAATCTTGTTCAAAGTAAATTTCCTTTCTAAAGTTCTCATCAGAGAAAAATAGTGAGAAGCAACCAAAGTAGCCAAAGTAACCAAAACCAAACTGCAAGAACAAAAACAATGGGCATAACTTTGAAGCTAAGTTAAAGACCCTAAATTAAGTTAAAACATGTTATATCAATATAATATCACATCTTTCGGAAAAACAAAGCGTTAAAAACAAGTCACTTAAAGTACAGTAATGTTAATGAATTACTTTAAAAGGTTTTTTTCAGACTCTTTTGGACATAATATTGCTTGTTGAAAAATATGTTGTAAAAGAATCACTTAAAACTTCAATTATCCTGTAACAATATCTTGAAAATCAATATGAATAGATCCTGGTCAATCTTTTATAAAACATAATCCCTTTAGTTTAAAACACATTTACGTTTTCGACATTTTGAAAGGCATATTTTTAAGAGTTTTTTTAAACATAAAAAACTATTGAAATCAAACATAAAACCAAGCAAAAGGTAAACTAAATATAACTAAATTCAAAAAACAACATTTCAAAAAATAGAAACACAACTTGAAATCAAAGAAAACCACACCATATTGAACACTGAAATCTGAAGATATAAACATTGCCAACTTAAAACAATAAAACAAACAACATCAAAAAACACATGTCGTGAGACCTGCCACGTGCGGCGGGTCAAGGGCTTTGGGCGTGGGAGGTCAGAGGTTTGGGTGTGGCAGGTCAAAGGTTTGGGTGTGGCAGGTCAAGGGTTTGGATCTGGCAGGTCAAGGGTTTTCGCGTGGCAGGTCTGGGGTTTGGAGGTGGCAGGTCAAGGGCTTCGGGTGTGGCAGGTCAAAGGTTTGGGCGTGGCAGGTGAAGGGTTTGGGTGTGGCAGGTCAAGGGAAGGGCAAGCTCTGACATTCCCCAGCAACATGGCCTCAGAAGAACCTGGTAGAGAAACCAGCCAATCTTAAACACCATAATTTGCCGTGCTGTTGGTGAGATTGAGTTAGCTATTTCCTCAAAGACCTGCAATTTTGCGAGCTATTCATACCGCAATATCCTCAGTTCAAGTCCTTTTTGCAAGTGACTGCTGAGAGAAAATGCCAACCGGCCTTCCCATTGCGTGATGGTTGGCAACGTTGCCATTTGGACACCGAAACTGTTTGGGGTTACTAAACAGCATTTAATCCCTGCCCCGGCTTGCGCCCAAGGAGTTTGACATTGGAGTTTCTGAACTTGAGTCGAAATGCGCTCGAAGAACTGCCTCCTGGTGTTTTCGATGGACGGATTTGGTTGAGCGTGATCGACCTGAGTCACAACAAGCTGAGAACGCTGAATGCCACGCTGTTCGACCTGGAGAGCCTCACCACCTTGGACCTACGTGGAAACCGCCTGACCGATGCCACGCGGGAGGACCTGGCACGCCTCAAGGTGGAGCTCCATGTGGATTGAGGTGCTGTGCCCGGCTGTGCCCGGCTGTGCCCGGCTGTGCCCGGCTGTTCCCGGCTGTGCCCGGCTGTTGTGCCCGGCTGTGCCCGGCTGTGCCCGGCTGTGCCCGGCTGTGCCCGGCTGTGCCCCCGGCTGTGCCCGGCTGTGCCCGGCTGTGGCTGTTGTGCCCGTTCCCGTGCTGTGCCCGGCTGTGCCCGGCTGTTCCCGGCTGTGCCCGGCTGTGCCCGGCTGTGCCCGGCTGTGCCCGGCTGTGCCCGGCTGTGCCCCTGGAAAGTGCAGAGGACCTCATCCTTCGGACTTTCTGTCGCAATGACTTTGAATTTTCGACTAGTGATCTGGACTGACGGTGATGATCTCAACGGATTTTCTCTGTGGGCTATGGGGCTATGTTGAAAGCGCTGGCGATTCACAGGTTTTCTCGCTGCAATTAAACTCAGAGCACAGACTCGTGGCAGAAGTTGTACGTCGGCTGTGAAGGTGGAAAGGCAGAAGCAGTTCCTTTGCGAAGAGATCGGTAGATCGGTAGGAACCGGTAGGTAAATCAGATGCCATCTTTTTTTGGCAAGATGAAAATAATTGAACGTGTACACCCGCTGGAAAATTGCGCAGCGAAGCTCTCCGACGTGCTTCACACATCATGCTCGTAAAAACGTAGTCATGTTGCATACAGATTTTGTGGAAGAACGGAAGATGACGCAACAAATGACAGATCTTTGTGTTGGCCGAAGAGTTGAGGCTCCAGTTTCAGTTGTGCCAGGAAACAAAATGAATACCATGGGACTCATATCATTTGCACCATATCTTTCATCCATGACTTTGGACAACCCCTGATCTTATAATTGAGATATGACGCCTACCCCTAAAGATTTCCGAATCCTGTACAGGCGCCAAGCAGAACAAATGAAACAAATTCTGATCCCACGCAGCTGCAGAAACACTTCCACTGCCATGGCCCGGATTCAAGTCCCAAAAAAGGGCATCTTCACGTGCAACAGCAGCACAGCAGAGGAGGCAGTACAGTACTTGCGGCAAGTGTCACTTGGCTGCCAAAGGTCCAACATGTCCAACATGTCCAACATGCATTGGTTTGAAGGCATGTTGCGGTTGACTACTCTTGGCAAGGAGACGCTGAATCAATCTGCAGTGAACGGAAGGTGGTGTGGTATGGTGTGGTCCAGTGGTCTCCAGCAGGAGAATCTGCAAGCTGTCAAGGAGTGGACTTTGATGTCCATTGGTTTAGTTTTTTCGTTAGTTTTCTTTTTGATTGTCTTTGAATCAAATGAACCATGGCAAAACTCTTGGGTCATCAATCATGCATTTCCGCCACCGCCTCAGGTTGGATGAGCCTTGGCACGGCAATGTGCTGCTGTCCTGTGGTCCACACAAGTTGGAACCCAACCAGCAGCTGCCGGAATTCGATGCCGATTTTGTGCCTCGGTTGTGGAGTCACAAGTTTAGATCTTATGGGAGGTGTGCGTGTGAGTTGGTAACTTCATTTATATATTGCAGAAACACAAGTATTCAAGATTAGTGCTTCACTTGTTGCGAAATCTGCATGCACTCTGGAAGAAAGCACATGATCAGGAGGGTTGAAGTAGTCTTTGGAAAATTGTTGTCTTTACGCTCAGGTGTTCGCGAACTATTCGTGGCTAAGTTCCGGACCTCCAATTAATATCGCAGCAACAGAACTGCGAGGAATCACCATCGAACAGTTATCATCTTTGCAGCTTGGACTAGATGGCAGGGCAATTGCTGATTTTGTTTCTGTGCGTGCATGCGAGCAAAGAGTTTAAACACTCTGAAAACATCATGTCACATCACGTCACATCATCGCAGACCCAAACCGGGCACCGAGGTTGGTCTTTGTAGAAGACGTTGCCTCCAGCTGGTGCGCAGCACACCACTTGGGATACGGGCAGCCTTTGTCTTTTGAGGCCAGGTGTTGGCATTATTTCGGTCGTGTCAGTGGCGCTGCAAGGAAGCGACTTAAAAAGATGAATAGCGTAAACAACAGCTGATAGTTCCAATTCTATTTCGTTTGAATTCCTCATTCCGAAGGCCTGCTGCATTTCTGATTCCAGTTACTGGACTTCAGTGCTGAATCTCGGCTCCGCCAGGCCTTCAATTTGTATCATGCGAATTTCTGGGTCATTGGACCTGCCACAGCTGGTCACGGAAGAGGTGGCTGCAGCTACGTCGAGTTGGTGGCCACCTCGGCTCAGATGCAACGACCCTTGTGGCAACTCGGCTCCTGGAACATAGTGGGAAAACATGGAGTTCTTGGGAAACGATGGGAGAAAATGAGACAACGTGAATTGAGCCAAGCACGCTTCCGGACATGTAGCCAAACATGAGTCAGATTAGTGGCAATACCTGGGCATGGATTCAAAAGTCAGCACATTAAAATGATCAAACACATAAAACGAACAAATGCTTCGAGTGGTTTATTTGAAAGGGGTGTTCCTGAGTTTCCATGGCTCCAAGCTCTTCAAATGTAGTTGGTGAATGTTGTTGAGGTTTGTGTCCCACGCTTGGCTGGAGCCGGTGTGCAAGTTCGTGGCGTGCCTCAAGTGTCACGCTTCTTTGCGTCAGCTGCCCGATCAAACGGCTTACTGGGTGTGCGCCTACGCCAACAACCAGCATCAGCTGGAGAATGAGATTTGCAACAACCCCCGGAAGACGTCCTTCTATCGCGCCATCCAGTTGTGCGCTGGGGTCTTGCTAGTCTTGGACGAGAACGCCACACCCTTCACTCGGACCTTTGCCTGAAAGTTGGGAGCATGGGTTGGCGAGGTTTGGCAGGCAAGACTAGACCCTTAAGATAGTTTTTGATTATGCAAAACATTGAACATCCTTTTCCTAAAGGAACGCCTCTCCCCAAAAGACACGCAGTTTACCCTTGCCCATTCATCCTGAGCTTTGTCAGGATTTGGTGTTGCTTTGAAGAGTCCATTGCAGTGGAAGAACGCAACAAGGGGACGCTTGGCGTTGACTTTGACTTGCGGCTTGCTGCACATTGCATCGCTGATCATGGTTTATTTTCAGACTTTGACCAATTATCACCTCTCTTGCCTTTGCTTCTTCATCACTCTTTCTTTCTGCTTCTGTCAGTGTTATCCATGTTCCCATCCTTGTTCCGATTGAGCCGATGCTCTGAACCCTTCAGGAACCCGTTGCTGCTGGATGTGGCGGCCACAGAGAACGGACGTGCCCATGTAATCACCGACGGCCTGGCGGGCGCCGAGCAGGAGATGATGCCGTTGCTTGGGTTCTTGGCGAAGAGTCGACGAGAGGCGGAATTCCCCACCGAAATTCTGATGTAACTTGGCCACTAAACGGTTGGGCCGGTTGGGTTGCTGAGCGATTGTTTTGGGGCAATGCAGTTGCAATCAGAATTTGGTGAATTTTGGATGATTGTGTGAGGCAACAGGGTAGAGATTCAGCTAGATAAGAAAGTAGAAGTGACAAGCGTTGATGATGCGCGTAGTCGGGGTGGTTGGGGCAATTGCGATCGGCAATCTGTCCTGAGAATGGAAGCGGCTACTGCCATGCCCTGCCACTTTGTTGTTGCATGTTGCCACATATTAGGCACGTTTTGCACATGTGGTGTATGTCACTCACTCTACTTTCACTCGCCAGCAGTGGCCTGGCAGTGTCGAGCTAAGGAAAGGCTTGGATGTCAACATTGCCAGCGCTATGGCAAGTGAACCCTCAGATAGGACCAAAATTCTAAACAGCATACGACTACCTCGAGCAGGGACTGTTTTTCTTGAACAAGAAGCCCGAGACGCTCATGAAAGCAACTTGATTGATCTTTGGAGTTCTTTTCCTTCTGATTTCCTCCCACCCCGTGCTGAGTCAACCTTGACCCAAAGGGATGATGTGCCCAAAATGCCTTCAGTTTCGCTCAGTTTTTGTCGGTTGCGAAACATTTTGCAAACTTTCGCGCTGAGGTTATGATGCAGTGGGCCGTGCGCTAGCCGGGCACTTCGCCCTAGCCAATTGGCTCCTTGGAATTTTGAGAGAATTGATTTTCTGTACACGTCGAATCAGACGTTTGTTTGTGCAGAGTACGATTTTGCCGTTCTGCCTCCCTAACGGCTTGGATCTTCGCCAAACGCCGCAGCTGAGGTTTTCTTCCATCGCGAAAGGTCTGGACACCTCGAGGTGGGCTGGTCCCAGCCGAAGTAGGGTTCGGGTACAGAGCAAGGTTCAGCAGTCAAGAATTGCAATCTATGGCTGACATTATTTCTGATGGTTTTTCACACAGGGTGCAATCTGCGGATCATTTATTTTTTTTTAACCATGGATTGAAGTTGGACTGTGGCCACTGGGTGTGGCAGTTGCTCGTTGATTTGGACACTGCAGATACCGGGAACACGTTTGGGACTCTCTGACCTGCAATTTTTGACGCTCCAGCGGCCTACAGGCTCTTGACAGCTCTGCAAAACGACGAGAAGCGACGTGTGGTGCAGCTCTCCTTGACGGGATGCTGCAACTTGACCACAAAAGAGTGCTGCAGACATAAAACGATGCCCATCAGAAAAAAATGGCGGTGCAAAAAATGAGGTCTAGAGTCAAAGGGAATAGAAAGGGATTAGGAGTGCAACCTCCTAAGCCTGCTTCCCGGGATGGAAGGCACGCACCCTAGCCCACTAAAGGTTTATGTCCTGAAAAGCTCCAACAGGTGCATAGCAGGTGGGTCGATCTGAGCCGTTTTGCGCCGAGGCAAGTTTGATGACGCACAGCTCAGCACTTTTCTGGAACACTTGCCACCTCAATTGCAGGTCCTGCGTGCCCTGGCTCGGATGTCGGATGTTGCCCCAAGATTTGAAGTTCCGGTCCGAGCATGTTTAAACTTAAACCATTTCAAGCTTTAAGCCGATTAAATACGTTTAGAGCCATGAACCCCAAAACGTTTCAACGTTTACATATTTACATATTATGTTATGGGGCTGTTTGAACATATCCCGAATGAGTGATGGAGGAAATAAGAACGGGTCAGCGAAAAAGAAGCACCAGGGTGATGTCACTATCATCAGATTTCTCAGTGCTTGATTCTGCAAGTGCGCATGATCTCATGCAGTTGGGCCCACAATCTCTTGGAACCCGTTTATACAAACATGAGCATGTTTCAGCATGTTTTTAAAGCTTGTTTAAACGAACTTGCTAGGGTCCCCGACTACCCCGGATTAGTTTAGGCATTTTCGGTTTAGACATGGTTTAAACATTAAACACAGTGTTTAAACCGTTTAAACCAACCCCAGGCCCAAACGTGGAAGAGATTGGTTGAAAGATGCTGCAAGCCTTCCAGCCAAGCTGCACCCCTCAAGGGAAACCGGGGATCAACTGAGAACCCCCAAGATCCGTTGGAAAGATGGGGGACCATATGCCGCAGCATCCCATTCTGAGGCTTGGACCTGGGCTTCACAGCCGTGGAATGCGTGCAGTTGGACACGCCATTGTCGGAACTGCAGGAGCTCTCCCTGCGCATAATCAAGACGCCTCTGCGCCAGGTGCGGGTTGGGAGGTGAGTCAAAAATTGGAATAATTGAAACCATGTGGGATCCCGCACTACGGCTATAAACATCCACGTTCGCAGAATTTCGGGTTTGAGGCTGGTTTTCCCCTGCCTTTTTACTGCTTCGTGGCCAAACAGACATATCATGACATATCGTTCAACCTCAGGTGAAGCTGCAACGGAGTATGATGCCGAAGCTGCGAGTCTCGGCAAAGCTGCTGAGTTTTGGATCGCAGCGTTTGGACTTGGCAAAATTGACCCAACAGCAGTAGATGCCTGTTAGCGGTTTGCCATGGATACCCGGGTCAGGCCAGTCATTCTGAAACATCCAAATGCCCCCATGTCACTTTGGAGTTCATCGACATGGCGGTTCACAGCATGCTCAGAAGCGAAGAAATCTCGAAAGATTGCTCCAGAACTACAGAATGATTGGTGAGAGGGAGATCCAGCAACGGCTTTGATGTTCGTCAAAGCGAGCCTCACTTTTGTAGAAAGATGTGCATCGGAGTCTCCACTTTTCTGGCTTTTGCGGGTCTGTCCTGAGTTGGCTGAGGATCCTTGCAGCTTTGGTTGTCCAGTTTGCCCGAGCTTGAGGAGTCTGGACGATCGTTGATTTGCCAAGGATGCATCTAAAGGATAAAGGGATCATAAAGGTGTCACAGGGTATATCGTCATTGTTCTTAATTAATTATTCTGTAATATTCTGTCAATATACGGATATCAGTGGGATTGCCTGGGTATTGATATTGATCTTAAGGTCTTTGTCATGAGTTTGCGGTTCATACATGTTTCTTTTCGAGTTCGCCAAGTAACAATTTTATCGAGAAATGCTTGCGAAAGTCAGATCTCCTTAAAACAATGACAGAACAATCACACAACCATTCAGTATGCAACCTAGCAGGATAATTAGTTCTCATGAGAGTTCCGAGAAAGGAACGGGCAAAATTCATGATCTGGCAGGTCCTGACTGAGTCCTGTCTTCACAAGGGACATGGTTGCCTCACATGGTTCTTGCCGCGAAAGGTTCACGAAAGTACTAGATATGATGTTTTGCGAAGAATGGCATTTCCAGATGAAAGAAGATCAACGAACACATTATTTTGACTGTACTGTAGCAAAAAAAAATGCCACCTAGACCCAGCCAAACCGGGACCCTGAGCAACCTTGTCCCACTCAACCGTCTTTGACAACTGGTGTTTTCTCGAAAACTGCAACCCCAACATCCAATGGTTCAAAATCTTAAGCCTCGTTTTCAGCACCCAAATCCCCCACAACGTATCATAACTTGGGGCATCCTCCAATTTAAGACTGCATGGAGTATTTTAGATGCTGACCTTTTGGCTATGATCAAGAGTAGTATCTGAGACAACTGACATGACTGTGGTAGGTAACAACCACCTCCTACCGCAGGCTTCTTTAGCCCCAAATCAAAAAGGTGCTCAAGCTGCTCCGCAAGCAGGTTATGAGCCCAAACCGTGCCTCTCGTCGCTGAAACATGGCGCATCGACGAGGTAGAAGTGTTCCAGGGCACCGAGAAGGGCGTCTTCACTTGAATGGAGGTGAGCCGGTGAACCCTTTTTGGTCCCAAGGAGTACAAGAGGCAGCAATGGTGGACAGGCTGAGACCAGCCAACCTACCGCCAGTCCGGGTAACTCCAGAAAGCCTACCTCCAGCACCAGCTGATGATTGGGATGGAGAAGAAACACCAAGACCGGTGCAGGGGCTTCCTCGAGCGATGGGCAGCGGTGGGGGACTGCTGAGAAGTCAAGGCAGAATGCCAGCTGTGGCATTTGAGACACCTAGCAGCTGGGAGCCTCACACTCCAGGACCACAGGGCACTCAGGTGTTCAGGATGGAGGAAGAAGCTTCGAACTTCAATCTCTTTGACTTTGATGAGGACCTGGCGCAGCAATCCTCATGTGCAGGAATTCCTCAAGTAGATCTTCTTGGCCCTCTTGGTGGTGAAGGACATCGAGGGAAAGGTCAAGGGGGAAACGATCATGGAGAACGACAAGGTGATAGACTTCGTTCTCAAGGACCTCTACGGCAAGATCGAGACGGAAGGGAAAGGGAACCTCCTGGACAAAGGCAACGTTCTCTGGATCTTCTGGGTGATGTTCTAAGAGGTTCACATGGTGATGTCTCAGCTCTGCAACGTGGAAGGGCCCAAAGTCCAAAAAATCCACAACGTGGAGGAAGTCGTCATGGAAACGATCGAGACTCACGTGGACTTTCTGGAGACCGTCATCGGAACGATCAAAGTAGGTCTAGAGGTGAAGATCGTGCCAAAGATCATTTGCAAGGAAAAGAACTCCGTGCGGAACCCAAGAAAATCCAACCGAAAGACCAGACAGGTTCAACGTTGGAGCAAGATTTGAGTTCGTTGTTGGTGCAGCAGTTGATGCAAGAAAATGAGCAGCTTCGCAAAAGGTTGGATGCGATGGACAAGAACCAGCCTTCTTCTCATGGACAACAAGGTCAACATGCTCAACAAGATCAACAACGTGATGAATTGGATACTTCGAGTTGGGAATCGATTCCTTCAAGGGCGACTCCAACAACACCTACAAACCGCCAGACCAAAGATGTGGCCAAAGTCACTCCTGGTGGAACTCACCTTCCAGATGGACCACCGCCCATTGACAAGGTGGAGAAGGATCCTATGCCGCCGCCATTGCCTCCGGTGCCACCAATGTTTTTTGGGGGATATGAGGAGCACAATGAAGCGGGGGTGAACAAGTGGCTTGGACCTCAAGCAGTACGTGTTGGTGTTCAACAAGGTGATGGAGAGGTACATGGCTT